ACACTTTTCCTGAAGATAGAAGAGTTTGTTGAATCTGACGTGGCATGTTTGTACGAACCCTTCGTACGAACAAAAGTAAGAGAAATTTAGGAGAAGAATACGAACATGTTCTTGCATGAGGCCCATTGAAACTAACTGGTACAGTATGGAGGTTATTTGTGTTTTTTTTAATTGTTCAAGCAAAAAAGTAGTTTCAACCAAAAAATAATAATAATTTCAACCAAACAAAAAATAAATTTCAATGTTAAAAAAATCAAATCAAAAAGTTTTGCAAGATAGAAACTTTTTTTTCACCGTCAGAAATCTTTGGTTGATGCTCTTAAGTTTTTGGTTGAAATTAAAAAGTTTTGAACACAGAGAACATGAATAGCCAGCGCGGGGCCTAAGGACAAACTACTGTAAAACGTGTCCCTGTTGGTTAGTGCGGACTGAAGCGATTTCCTTGTGCATCCGCTTCAAATGTTGTCAATACATTAAATGGCCTTTATTAGAGGTGATCAGTCCCATACATTGTGTCTAGACTGTCCCTCCTCTACCTCCTAGGTTGAAAGGCACTCATTTGTCTGTCTGATAATGTGCATTCAGGTGCAGTAGTTTTGGCTCCTCCCCTGGGACGCGGAGCTCAACAACCGGCCTGTCTCGCTGTCCTTTGCCCAGGGAAAGCACTCAGCCTGCAGCATGGAGATCCAGACTGTAGCTGTTTGTTGCCACAGACATTAAATAAAGGGCTTTACATGAGAAGCAAAGAACATGTGTGTTATTTGGATTTATTTTGTACAGTTTTGTTGGGAATGTTATCTTTACACACCTGGAACCAGATAGTTTAAATCTTCTGCTTCCTCCTGCAGCTGTTTTTTGAATCTTCTACAATATTTACCTAAAAGCTTCTAAACCCAAAAGAACAAGGGACACAAGCACACTTCATATCACATAGAGATATCTGTGTTCTCAGATTACAGCAAAGTCATCCCAGCTGCAGGAATTTACCCACATTAATGAGCTGTGAGCGATCTTAATTAGGCCACATAATCAGTTAATTTATGGTCTCTGAGCTGGTTTGATCACTTAAATGGAGCTGGATGGTGAGCTGCTGACATTCAGAGGACCTGCTGTTCCTTCTGCAGCTGCTTGGCTGCCTGCAGACAGACCTGCAGCTGGAGGACTGAGGCTGAATGTCAGAAACAGACAATGGATGATGGAGGCAGAGTGAAGGAAGTTAAATAAAGCGAATGGAGGATGTTCGAGGGATAAATGTGCGCAGCAGGAAGCAGCGCAGCCAAGATAAATGAGGGAGTAGAGTTGGAGGAGCAAATTTCCCAGAGGGAGAACGACGAGGCGAGTAGGTAAGGATGTGCACACAGACGAATAACTGATTTTCCTCCTGTGAGACCAGTTTTATGCCAAATTAGCACCGAGGTGCTGTGGCTGATAAGTGTTCCTCCTCCTGTCCTTCCTGTTTTCAGTGTTGAGGTTCAGCCCAGCTACAATCAGCTCTGACACTTTCCCCTGGCTGCAGAGGAAAGTGTGGCAGCTGTGGTCCCAGTCATTAACTGGCTGCACAAACATAGGGTCTGACCCTAAGAGAGCCGGCTGACATGAAAATACAGCAGGTAAATAATCCAGAGCCAAGAGATTTGAGAGGATCAACATACATAATATATATACAGTTTTTTAGAAAAACTCTCTGATAACACCTGTGAAACTCCTGAAACAGGTGAGCTGGAGTCAGTTTCTGAGGTTCTTTACTATATATTCTGGTTCCAGAGCTCACTGTTTTTTTTACAGGGAAAAAAACTCGTTCATATTGTACTACAGGACTGTCGGGGACAGCACGGCATGCGAGTTGCTGCTAGACTGCTCTAAATGTCATTATCAGAGGGAGACAACTTAACCTGTAACTTTAGCTATGTGGCGTAATGTTCCTGGAGTTTAGCAGGCAGCAGATTACATAACTGTTTCTCAAGAGAAATCAAAGTATCAACTGCATTTTTTTCTCATTTTTTTAAACAATGGAAAAGAACTGACAATGGAAAGTTCCAACTACCCCAGCACTCACCCTCCTGCAGCAAAGTGAATAGCTTTATTATAGGAATCAAATATTAGATGTTAGAGGCCATCAATGACCATGAATTGTCTAAAACACAATGAAAAATCTAAATCAAAATATTTAAGAGACACAAATGCAGGTACAAATAAAATGAGATACAACAAAAACATATTTTTATAAACAGAAAAATGTAGATTATATGCAAAAATATATATAATTTATTGTAAATAAGCTGGAAAAATATGTATAAATGTCAATTAAATGTTAAAACTTGAGCTTAAGTTCTTTTTTAAATCACTTAGTCCATTTATATATTTCTGTTTTATTTTTAATTAAGTCAGTTCAGTCCTCCATGTAGAAGAACAAATGTACAGTAAATTGTCAAACTCCTACACAGTCATTTATTTTCTTACATTGTTGGGAATGATTTGTATGATTTGATTGTACTGAAGAGGTTTGTAAAGATAAAATTAAGATAAAAATAAAAAACTTGATTGTCCACCAAGGTAAAAATTTTCCTTCGCCTCTTCAACCATAAAATAAAACACATAAAACCCCAATATCAACAATTTGTGCACAGAATAAAACACTTGGCATGCCACAGGTAGATGTTGTCATCTAAATGACAAATAAATGACTTCTTATAGATGTTCTGAGTCCTGACATCAGAGGTTCAAATCAACAAAGAAGAGGACATCTGTATTCTGTTAAAATATTCCTTCAAGTCTTCCACGTTCTTTCAGCAAACAATTGAGACAGAGCTTTTTGTGGCCTCACAACTATTTTACCTGCCATTGAAACCATTCTTAACCAAGGGAAAAGTCACACACAAAGAGAAATATAGTGGTCAGTAAAATGTTTCCGGTGGAGAAAATGATTCCACTTCTGCATGTTGTGAGGATGATTTTCATCAGTGCAGACTGAGAAACTAGCCAGAGATTAAGGAAAGATAGATAAATATTCATGTGATCATCGTATTTAAGCAGAAACAAACCTAACTGTTGTGGAGAGAAACAAAATAAGAGATTTCTCTTCAGGTCTGGTAACTTTTAAGAATTTTTGATGAAAAAGTTTTCAACTTATCAGGACACAGCTCTTGACATTGGCAGCCCTTGTAAAAAAAAGATTCCTCCTAACTGACATGATTTTTCTTAATCATTTATTGAACACAGTCAAATCTCACATCTCTGTTAAAATACTTCTTGTTTCTGACTGAAAACCAGTTTTTTACATCCTGCAGTGAAGGGATTCTGAATGAAACATGGCTCATTTTGCTTCAGGCGTTGCTGTAACAGATGGAAATTAAAGTTAGAGTTTACAAGCACATACTTGCTGTTAGTAAAAAAAAAACTGAATAATTTCTTATTCCTTGCCACCGGCAGGACTCAGACGGCTGAAACTTAACCGTGATATCAATGTAAAGTCAAATCCTGGCAGCGTGAACACAAATGTGTCAGGAAGCTAACAGATGTGTCAGGAAGCTACATGCTCGTCAGTCTGATCCCACTTCTCGTCCTTCCATCATCCTCCTCTCTGCTCTGCCGGAGAGAGGGGAGGGGGGCACAACTAAGACAAGAGGTTTGACTAATTCTGAGACTCACATGGAAACATGTCAATGATTGTAAGAGTGACATTTCTCAGGAGTTAAGTGTGTGTGTGTGTGTGGGGGGGGGGGGGGTGTTCTTACTGGTAATGGTGCACTAAAGCTTTGTTTACACTTCATGCAAGACGTGCGGCTGTGGCCCAGCGATGACGTAATTGCGTGTGTGTCACCGACAGCATTGAGTGTTTATACTGGGAAAAGAAATGGGGGATACATTATAGTAATCCCTCCCTCTGTCCTCCCACCGCATACGTCACGCGCATAGCTTAGCATGTAAATAACTGCTAGTTGCGAGTTTAGCTTGTTGGTTCAACAGATGCGGGAGATGGATGACGAAAAACACTTTCCTATTTTCAAATGTCCGCTGCTCGTTTTGACGAACTTGCCCACCGGATCCTTTTTTTTTTACCCACTGGATCTCCCCTCACCTTCAGCACGCACAGACGCAGTAGAGGAGTCACAGATGGTTATACCTCCGGACTGCCTCGGTGAGTTTCTCTTCGAAATTATCCATGTTTAGAAACAAAAACCAGCCTCTGGAAGTGAGTAGCGGTGTCACACAGCACAAAAAATGCCCACAAACTTTGAACCAATCACGCGCTCCGAGCCGCATCCTCCGCATCTCGGAGTGCTGACTGGGGGCAAAGTACAGGAGAGTTGTCACCGGGGTATCGCAGCGGGATTACAGACGGAAGTTGCGCAACCTTTTTTCCACTCAGCAGGGGGTAAAAGACATGCGACAAGAAGTATAAACCAGCCTTCACCCAGATCCACGTGAAGACTGCAGAAACACAGACTCAGACAGAGCTCTCTCAATACTCCGCTTTCTTTTATTAAAACCAGATCCTGACAGGATCATAAACACAAAAACATATAAAACGTTTTCACGTGACGTTTGCCATCCTGGTGTAACTGCAGTCTTAAACAGAAGCTTGCATTGTTTTTTCTGCTAATATATCGATAAATGTTCAATTACTGTTGTGTTAAATGATGCCACAGTTGGTCAGAGCATGAGAAAGACTTACAGACCACCCCTCAATATCATGGATCAACAGCAATAAGAATCCACATCCACCCTGTGGCCTGAGCTGCATGACATGCACATCTACATGTTACCAAAAAATCCAGGTGCTCTAGCTGTGATATTGTGAGGATCCTAGGGTGTTGTTTTGTCAGTGTTCTCTTTTTCAGTCCCTGAGTGGCAGTGTTTAACAGCCCAAAGTCAACGTATTGACCAACATGATCTTACTCTCCAGCAAATTTTAGATCAGCAGACCACCACCAAGGCCCATATGGAGAAAATGGGGGGTGTGATGACTACTATTAATCACCAACTAGCTCAACTTTTACCTTTACCAGATGCACCTCCGCCCGCCAGTCCTGACCTGAGTCACTCCACTTCGAAACTTGTGGGCCGTGAACCGGATGTTCAGCCATCTGAGTTCTTCGAGGGTAAGCCTGAAAAATGTGGAGGATTTATTTCACAATGCAGACTTGCCGTTAGCCGTGCCCTGCTTTACACTGCGCTGCAGTGTGCAATTTGCAGCTGTTCACTTGCACCCCAATAAATATAGTGATAAATGTGGAAGTGAAGTCAGAGCAAAAAATAATTAATTCTGTGAAAGACAAACAACTGGAAACATAAGGCTTTTGATATCTATGGTTCAAACTGTATCTCTGTCGTCTTTTTGAAACTTCTGATTTCAAAATAAAATCCATGTGTATCAGGTCTGTACACATATGCTTCATGATACATGTTGCCATCTGCTTCCCAAACAGAACTATACATTCTGACAGCATTTGTGTGGAAATATATCCATATAATGATTAATACAGCTGGGATTTCAACAAAAGTTGTCCATCTTATGGTGTCTTATTTTGAAAAGCCAGTTTTCTGCATCAAACTGCACTTATATCCAACCTCTTTGTGTCTCAGGTCAAACCATAGCTAACTCTTAAGACATCTAAGCTTCACGTTATAATGTCTGGCAACCATCATGAGAAGGTTTTTTTGTTTTGTTTTCTCCTCTTCCCTTTCTCAAGTCATTCTTGGGTAACCCTTGGTTAAAAAAACACAACCCCATTATTAACTGTGTAAAAAAAATTGAAGGCCGGCGCACTAATTGCTCCTAATTGTGTCTCCGTTCAACCAGTGTACTGAAATTACCTGAAGAAGTCGATCTTACACTTGACATCGCCCCAGCTTTCAATAAATAAGTTTAGAGCCCTGTCTCTTCAGCCCCCGGCACTACGATTGTGTCATAGACACCCTCCCTGGTGCCCTCTTACCCTCTAATCAGTTATATGAACTCTCAGGCTCAGAAAAGATCACCACCAAGAACTACATTGAATCATTTGTCCTTCTACTTCTCCATTGGGTGCGGTCTTCTTCTTTGTAGAACAAAAGGATAAATCTTTCCAACCCTGTATTTATTACAGGGGAGTCAACCAAATCACTGTTAAAATTAAATATCCTCTCCTCCTCATTGATTCAGTTTTTGAACAGTTACATTCTTCCACCATTTTCACTAAACTAGATCTCTGCAACGTCTACCATTTGGTTCAGATCAGAAAAGGTGATGAGTGGAAGACTGCCTTCAAGATACCTTTTCATGCCTTATGGCCTAACTATTTTCTACCTGTCCAGGGTGTACCCCGCCCCTTGCACTGTGACTGCTGGATATGGGCACCAGTGACCCACGCAACCCTGAAAGGAATAAGCGTGTACAGAAAATGGATGGATGGATGGCCTAACTAAAGCCCCTGCAGTCTTTCAAGCTTTAGTCAATGATAAGTTGAGGGATTTCTTGAATATTTCCATGTTCGTTTATTTGGACAACACCCTGATTTACTCTCATGACCCACAGCAACACCTAATTCAGGTGAGGGCAATTCTACAATAATTACTGGAGAACAATCTTTTCATTAAAGCTGAAAAATGTGAGTTTAATGTTTCCTCAGTCTCTTTCCTTGGGTTTATCTTTGAGTGGGCAGGTTTGGACCGACCCATAGAAGATCAAGGCAGTGATGGAGTGGCCCCTTCCCAGAGATCGTAAGCAACTGCAGCATTTTCTTGGATTTGAAAACTTTTACAGACGCTTTGTTAAGAACTATAGTCAGATAGTTGCTCCCCATACAAGGCTCACATCCCTTCCTCCTGGAGCCAACATTTGTTGTGGATTGAATATGAATGAATGAATGAATGAATGAATGAATGAATGAATGAATGAATGAATGAATGAATGAATGAATGAATGAATGAATGAATGAAACTTTACTGATCCCAAGGGTAAATAATAGTTCAGAACACCCGTTCACAAGATGACAGAAAATAAACATAGGAGAACAGGTGCCCCCAGGTCATGCAGCCATAGACCCTGCACAAAGCAAGGATCATCATCATGAAAGGACATCATGAGGAGGCGCTACCCTTAAAAAAGAAAAATAAAATACCACATAAGGATAGATGAGGAGGGAAAAAGCCAACATCACATGTCAATAAAAAGTGACACACTATGGTATTTGCAGAAAAAAACCCTCTGCAGAGCAAAGATCGGGTGAGGGCGGGGGTAACACAAGTACCTATGAGCAAAGACATTGAGAGATGAGAGAAGTGTATCTGAAACCATGAAATGTTGTATGCACATGTGTGAGCATCTGAAAATAAAACCGTCTGTGACCAGTCTCTGAACAGCACCACCCAGCTATAGTCTAGAACAGTGCTGTTATTGTGCATCTGTGCGACTTTCAGCAATGTTTCCAGATTCCAGTTCACACAGGGGAGTGGGAGGAGGGAGAGATGGGCTGAGCATCAGTTGACAAAACACCCATGGAGAGTTTGATATACCCAGCCTTCAAGGCCAAGTAGGGGGGTGCCAAATCAACAATTACAACTGTTTTGGAACAAGCTGACACACATGATTTGCTTGCATCTTTACTGTTCTTATATTTCTCTTCTACTTTTTATTTCTTACTATAGCATTATATATAAAAAAGCCACTGATGATGCAGAAATTAAGAAACTAACATTCAGTTTTGTTTTCTACTGAAGTGGCCAAAAGGATAAAAAAAAGGGAGGGGGGGAGAATCCACCCTACTTTTCATGTTTCCTAGATTAAACCAGTCTCTGAAAGTCCTCTTTGTGACATGATTTACAAAATTGTTCAACAGTCAGCGGAACTAAGAACCAGACCAGAAGACATGAATAAAAAATTTAAGTGCTTTTTATTTACAGGTGCAGGGTAGTGGGTCATCAGCTGTAAGGGAATGAGGAGATGAGGTGAGTATTTTGAAAGGTTCAGTCTTTCTTTTCAGAGATGGTTTGAATGTTAATTAAAGTGTTTCTTGTCTTACAGGTCTTCTGGAGGTGAGCAACACAGAACGGAGGAGGAATCCAAAAACACAGGTGAGTTCCTTTTAGGCAGCGTGGCATAAACATGAAGAGGTGTTCGAGGCGTTTGGTTTTGGCAGGAGGTAATGATTGTCAAACCTGATTGGAAGTCTCTTTTCTTTGCAGGCACAAGGAGAGGAACCGTCAGTGAGGTAAACCCACCTTAGGAAGCAGGACATGAAGGTAAGTACAATCTTCTAAACTTAGAAACTGAGTGTGGCTTCGATACTACCAGAATGGTAAGATGTATCAGCGAAGATCTGACAGTCAGGATGCCTTATAAAGCCCCAGTGGCTCATTAGGAGAATCTTCCTCAGGTGTGCAGTGGTGCAGGAAACAATGAGGCAGCCAATCATCAAACATGAACACCAAAAAGCCAATCATAACACTTTGCCCACCTGCCAACCTCCCCCTCTTGCCCGTACCATTTATGGTCTTTCTGCTTTCACTGTGAATTGCATTTTGGATGTCCGCAGCAGGGGTTGCGGTTCTCAGTTTTTAGTTGATTGGGAGGAGTATGGCCCAGAAGTGTGCTCCTGGATAACATGCTCTTTCACTTTAGACCCAGAAGCCACCCAGAAAATCACTGGAGATCACCAAGTGGCGATACTTGAGGGGGAGTTACTGTGAGGATTCTGGGGTGTAGTGCTGTCAGTGTTCTCTCTTTTAGTCCCTGAGTGGCAGGGCGGCTGTGGCTTGTTAACTTAACTAGACTCCCTGTGTATTTAAGGCTGGTTTGGAGCTTCTGTTCTTCGCTGGAACATTGCCCATTCTATGGTACTTTGTCTGGCTCTTAGAGTTGCTCATTGTGTACCTTGTGTCAGTAACCTGTACTCTCCCTTTTGTTCTTCAGAGCTTCCTACTCCCAAGATCAGCAAGTTTGCCCTTGTTTTTGTGTGGACTGAATCTCCTCTGAGGTAATCTTCTTCCTTGCTCCTGGAACCTCCACCTACCATCTTGGAAACTACCTTTCCCACTAAGTCCTCCCATCTAGCCTCTGGTCCATGTCTGCCACTCTTTCAACCTGCCTACCGAGTCATATTGGTCTGACAGCCACCTCCCCTGGAATCATCTGGACCTCTCCCTCCTGAGCCTACTCAAGACACACCTTGTAAGCTTCAGACTCTGCTTCACAATCTACCCTGAGTATCAGTTCTGGATATTGACTTCTGCCACTCATCCACTGATCTCCCCAGGGTTCCTATTAACATCTATAAGAAATAAACTTTTCTTTCTACTGATTGCTTGGCTCTTGTGTTCTCAGTTGGCATTCTGGATTCAGCAAGTGTTCTAGAATGTAATGGATATAATGACTTGGAATGCTCAGACATCTGTTGAGGAGAGTTGTTTTTATGTTACTGTCGCTGAGGAACCAATCAGTGAAGACAAAAACTGTCAAAATGTACTTTCAAGTAAACACGAATAAATATCAATTATTTTTTATAAACAAGTAAAAACAATAAATTAAGAAGCTTTGTTAGGAAACTGTGTGGAATGATAACATATTTATAATTCTGAACAGATTACAGATTGATACTTTACTGTAGTTATCAGAGCTGCCAGTAAGTTGCAGTTTTTTTCTAAATATTGCTCCTTTGCTGCAGGTTTAAGATCATCCAAACTTTTTTTGCAGTTTCTGCCTTCTTTGCAGAAGCTTTACTGCAACAGTGTGAACATGAAGAAAAATAATTTGAGTTTAATGTGTTTACGGTGAGATTATCTCGATGATAGCAATCGTTCCAGTTGTCTGCAGTTTTCATGACATAGGCACAGCGGGTTTTGATGAAATTATTACATTTAACAACACACTAAAACAAACATGCAGACGATCTTGACAGCTAAAAGTTGGGGGGGGGGGGGGGAAAGGATGCAACACTTTCCATTGTTGTTTCGTTTCAGCGTTCTGGCTCTGGATCACCTGGTGTTCTGCCAGCACCTTTGTCGCCTGCTAAATATGATTGATTGCAGGATTTGAGGCAGGGCCGGAGTGGGCTCATTTTCAGCCCTGGAGTTTGAAGCCTCCGACCGGCCCACTATAGATCATGACGTATTATTATTAAAGTGTTTT